CCAAAATCCGAACTATTCAAATTAGTCCAATTTATCGTGGCAAAAAAGCGAGGGTGGAATTCCACAGGTTTCCGATTGCAAGGGGAATAGTGCAGGCATATTATTTATAAACTGGGGCCTGAAACACATGTTTCTGACCAGCCTGTGTAACGTGGAAGTATTTATCATTCCGGAGCTTAAAGTATTTAAGCGCCTCTGAAAGATGAGAAGGCTGTTAACAGTATCAGTGTCACAGAATTTAGGACATCATTTGACTCCTGAACTGACTTTAAACTAACAAAAAACGTTGTATAAATTTAGAATGATGGACGTGATTTTGGACCATGTGTTCTGCAATCCTGAAAAACTTTAAATTTTTCTATTTAAGCGTGTTTGAAAGATCAGAAATCATCTCGCGACAAATCCGAATTAAGGAAATCGTAACTTATTCGGAATTAAAATTGGTATAAATGTCGGAATTAACACTTACTGATTCGAATTAATTTCGACAGCGCTAGAGCGTTCAAACTTGGTAAGCTGCAATCAATCTTAATATCACTATTGATAATGCTGTTAATTGTGAGGCTGATGCTTCATTCGCCGATTGATTTTGAATTTATGGACGCTGGGATTGTTTCGAATAATTAAAAGCGATGTTGATCACAAATTCACTCGTCCGCAGAGAACTATTTGTTTACGAACAATCCGATTTACCGGCTAAACAGTCCACTAAAGCTTGCGGGTTCGATGCCAAAGCAACGTTTTTGTGCATTTTTAAAACCGAGATTGCTTTTTTAACGAAATTGTGCAAGCAAAAGAGAAACATTCGCCATGAAAACGGGCAAGTTTCGTAAAATTTACAAGTTTTATAAATAATGTGAGGAGCGGTAAGCAATCAATAAGCTCTCGAATCGAGACGGTAGACTGTTCCGACTATTCCCTCTACTTTAACGAGACTGTAATTTCGATAATTTGTACGTGTGCCTTTCACAAAATTCTGAATTAGTAATGTGTGTAAGAACATATATTATCCACCGCACAAATTCCAAGTGGAAATTCAAATGAGAATTGACGTTCTGAAATTTCTGCAACAAAGCGGTGTGTTGTCATGAATGGATCTAACTAGAGTTGTATAAATTTTCATCTATGTCGAAAAAATAAATTGACGGCTATAGTAGCACGATTCTCTTTTTTTGTATGATTGCGAATAACAGGTTGGTATGAATTATTGTTGCGGCACAGGAGCTTTTGAAACGTATTGTATTGATTTATATATTTGATTAAATGCGAACAATATTTAGATTAATAAATCTTTGGATCTCGTTTCTTAAAACCGGTTACCGTTTATGGAAACGTCGGTAGCTTATTGTTACAGGACATCGATCATCGTTGTGGTTCAGTGGTGGCATATGATTTTGAGCAATAGGAAGGCAGCTGAGGATTTAACTTAGATTAAGCTTCTGTGTGTGTGTTCACAGCGTGACCCCAAGACAAATTTTATGACACTTCTTTGCGGTCATTCGATCAAAGGATTTTTTACAAATATTGTGTACTTTCAACAGATGGAACTTGAAAGACTTTTTATATTGTGTTATTTGTAACTAATGGAGTCATTCAAAAATTCACGTATCCAGTCGACCTATGTACAGGGTTTTAATAAATGATTCTAAGTGTGTAGTTAGCCATGGATTTCAAAAATCTCGCTTCGCTGAAATTATGTCTCATTATGACAGTTCTCACCTGTCATTAATGTTATTTGTAACTTGTCATTATTTTAAAGTCATCGTTTTTATTGTTTTCACGTTTTTGAAGTGTGTGCGCAGTAATTCTCGTTGATCCAAGGTCAAAACAACAAAATAGTCGTTTTTAAAACTCTTGGTGCTTCGACAAAATTATCTCAGCAATCAGGAGTTCTTGTTACAATATGAAATGGATTCGTTTTAGTAAAGTTTACACAAAGTGATAGGCGGCACGTTTCTATGACAAATTTCGACTTTATAACCATTTATAGAAACTCTGTATTTAATTCTGTAACTTATAACTGAAGTACGTTATACAGTATCAGATGCCAGTAAATTCCAAGACTGAAAAATCCTGTTTGGTATAAAATGTGGACCTGCTGTTGTCCGAAAATTGTCGCTTAGCGATATTAGACAATGCGTTCTAATTCTACTTAGAGAATTAAGGGGAAATAGAGCTGTAATAAGTGTTAGAGGCTCAGATTAGAGATGTAATCTACAGATTTGTTCGAAGTAGCGGTGTCGACAAAGGGAAATTACCCGTAAGACCTTCAGTATCCGGGTAAGTTGTTGATGATTTGGGGTGACTTGAGCAGAATCCGCAAACATCTCATCTCTGACAAGATTTCCTCGACAATCAGGAGTTCTTGTTGCAACATGAATTTGAACAATGGGTCCAAAGTATTGAAAGGATGTTACAGAACATTTTTGAAATTAAAAAGGGGGTGTACACTTGCTTAATAAGATATGAAGCATTTAGGAAACCAGTTATACAGATGCGTCTGGTATTTATCGTGAGTGCTTGGGCATTTAGTAACGTTCAAAACTGAAAGGCGGCACGTTTCCATGACCTACTTTGATCTTATAATCATTTATAGAAACCTTGCATAATTTCAACACGCTTCTAGTCACTGTTTTCTCGAAGTCACTTAAATAAGCAGGCATGACTGATAACTTTGTAGTTGTTTTTTTTTTTATTTTGTTGGTTCTTTTGTATTGCGGATTCTGGTTCTTAGTAAAACCACGTTCAATAAGACTAGACAAAAACTCGTGTACTCATAAATCTCAAAGATCTGCTTGTATTTCGTACGTTTTAGCGAAATATTTATTACAAAGGAGGATCTTAAAAGAAATTGAAAGGGGTGTAAAAAAGCAGGTCATAAATAAGACACAAAATGTTGATGTTTTCAAAGGCATTCTTGACAAAAATACACACCAGAATTTACAGAATTAATACATTTTGTAAATTTGCCAGCTTAATCTGAAAAAATTAAAGTTAAGTCGAGTAAACATGGGTCTCGATAATTTTTCTTGAAGTTTCAAAGGAATTTTAAACTATTTTCTGCAATAAAAAATCTTATGTAAACTACCTCACTACATACTATATACTAATTATCTATACATATATATTTTTAATAAGGCCAAATAGTTATTTTTAGGACATTTCGAATGGAACTTAAATTAGTTGCCTTCGCCTTAGATGCTAAAATGACGTTTTTCATTTTAACTGAAATGTCAAAAAGACAAACTTTCAAAAATCCACGGCTTTAATCGTGTTTTTTACTGCTGACCCGGTATTTCTTGCCAGAGTTACAGTTTTTTTTTTTTTTTGTATTAAATAATTGTTCTAAATTTCAAACTTCTGTTTTCACACATTTGAGATCTTGAAATGGAATAGATAAATAGGAACGCCAAAATACATATTGGTCGGGGATTATTTCAGTAGAACTTCCCTCATTTCTGGAGTACGGTTCAACAAATCCAGCTTCTTTGAAAAAATGATGCAATCTGATTTGGCGGTTTTTTATTTGTGATAACCTCTATACATAAAAAATGTAGACAATAGCAGTAATAATGTAAGAAAAAATATTTTCCTACAGTCTGGACTTTTTGCACACATTTTGATGCCTCGGATTAAATCTCAAGGCGGTTTCAAAAACCACAAGTACAAAAGAATATTATTTTATAAAATTTAAATGACACTTATTAGTGAAAAAAATTCGAAGGGATCTCCAATATAAATCAACACAGAGGGCAGACGTAAGCGCGAGACCTACTCTTTCGTACTCTAAGCATCCGGAAACCTCGAGAACATATGAAAGTCGTCCAGTTAACCATATTACAATACTTTCTTACAGTTTTCATCCAGTTTTTCGAAAAATTATAAAATTTGATTTTGAAAAAATTTTATCTTTTACCTACCTAGAACTACGACGTACTTTGCGTTGCTAGTTAGATAGGATTTTACCGGAATGGCGGCCTTGCTTTTATGCTGGTACAAAATGTTATTATATAATTTTGGATATTTTTTGCTACCATCTCGTTGCCTATGATATATTCTCAACTGCAAGAGTATGTTATTTTATAAAAAGCAAATAACATTTACTATGAAAACAGTTGAGGTGACGTCATCACATTGTTGGTGGGGATAATTAAACAAATTTTGGGTAGCGTTTTACCACCTACGCGATATTCATAACAAACATATAAAATTTAACAATAATTAGTCGACAGACGACAGACAGACAGACGGAAACGGAAGACCTATTGCGTCATACTCTGGAGATCATGAAACGTCGAGAAAACATGATGGACCCTATTCAGTATTTCCTTGGCTTGCACCCGGGAAGTAATGTTAATAGTATATTCATTTTGTATCCAAATTTCTTTGTATTAATCTTTCTAAAATTCAAACTTTTCAAATAACTCAAACATTAAAGTGGAACAGCTAAATTGGGACACCGGGTATACTTAGCTAATATTACAAAGTGTATTTTTTCCTTAGAACAATCCAGCAAGTGAAGTTGAAAACAACAGTTTATTGTAAAACCATAAATGAGGAGTATATCAGCTGTACATTTAAAATGAGATTTAATTTAATTTAATTTTAATTTTTAATTTTTACTTTAACATAATTTGAAATGCCATCAATATTTTGCAGCGTTAAACATCGGTTCAATAATTTAAGCGATTATTTATCCAATGACAGACAGCGACATACAGACATTGAAAACGCATTTTGGAGCATACGAAATATTTTAGTAAACTAACTCTGGAAAAGTTTTAATTTTTATTTAAACATCGAGAATTAACTGTTGGAGTGTCTCAAGGATTAGCTTTAGGATTGCTGTGATTTACGTTTTTATAGCAACGACTTTGATAACTCGACTCAACAAAATCGAATCGAAATAAACGATAAAATAACTTTGGTATAATTCGAATATTAAAACTAATAATTTTAAAGTTTTGAATCTCTCACTATAATACGTATTTTATTTCCAGGGAACCTCAACTCCGGTCCAACCTACAGTAAGTTTAAATGTTGTATATTTTTTATTTACATGTTAACGCAAGCTTACTAACAAGTTTTATAAAAAATTACAAAAATTTTAAGTTGCCTTTAAATGATACACTTTGTACATCTGAAAATAATTCAACTGTGAATTGTAACCCTAAACGAGTTCCGCTAGACTGATTCAAATCATTTTTTCACTAGTCCACGGTATATTCGTAATCTTAATCTTTTCCTTCCATCAGATCGTTAGTACACCTGTGTGGTAGATATACATCTGTATGCGACTTGACATCGTTAGTACAACATTCTACATTATGGTTATGGCGAGCTAAAATTTTTACAATAGTTTTAAGACAGTTACTAATTACATCACAAATACTTTAATGGCCCCACTAGTCTACAAAAAAAAGGATATTTACAATTATTAGTCACGCTACTTTTCTTTTCAGTTTTAAAAATTAAAAAGCAGTGTAATTTTATTCTAATTATGTTTGCAGAAATTCACTTAAGCGGATAATTAAAACTGTATCACACTTTTGCATGTATTTTTGATGTTTTTATCAACAGTCGTCTGACATGTTAATTGAGACATTAATAAATCATAAACCTTGCATATTTATTCGAGCAAAATTTTGTTAAGTAAATTTTGCTGTCGTTTTCTACTACATAATTTTGCAATGATATCACAGATACAAAGAGCGCAAATATAAAAAAAAAAAATATCTCCTGAGGCATCAGTAATCTCTATAGAAATTTCCCAGATTCAGTTTTGTATCTATCCTTAACGTCCCGATTAACTGAATTGTAGTGATCTTTGATTAAATATGCTTAAGTGCATGAGGCAACTCGTCAACAATATACATATAAAAAATTGGTCTAAAGAGTTTAGACAGTACTTCCCTCGCTGTCGGAAACTTGACGACTGCATGCCTATTGTGTTTTTTTTCTCATTACATTTTTGTAGTGGGAATTTAAAAAAAAATTGCGATGACGTCATCAACATTTTTGCAAGGACACGTATATCAGTTGGGATAGATGTAGTGTAATACTAAGAATAAAATTATTATATTCTCAAATTTTCGGGAAAATGAATTGGGTCGTTTGAATATTGATTTGTAATAATCAATAAAATAACGAAACAATTTACTCACGTATACCTACGTATCAGAGGCAACTGAAAATCGTGTATGTATAAACATTGTTAATTTAAGATGACAGGCGTAACAGCATACGTGAGAGCCAAACACAGAAACTGTAAACAAAACGACCGTCGGTTTTATTGCTTCGACTTCCGCTTATTATATAAAACATTGGGTTTTATTTTAATTCTTGACGGTGAAATTCACAATTGGTTGATTATAAACATGTCTATTTCACATTCGCGGAATCAAGTGAACGCATAAAACAAATGCAGGTCTGTAATGTTAAAGTCGATGTAAATAAGCGTGCTACCCTTATGTTTCAACCGAGTTTTTCCTTTAACAAATTTTGTGTCTACCAAATTGGGTTGGTTGGGGTGTAATACTAATAATAAGTGTTGCCTTTAATTTAATCAATAAAATAAATTGACTTCATTAATTTTTTTGAACCACCTCTTAAGAAAATCTAAAAAATATGAATGGAATGATAAATCACAAGTACAAACTCATCATATTTTTTGCATTTTAGATAGGATTTATTCAGCAAAATTTAAGGGTGACGTCATCAATTTTTTTAGGAGGGATGAACAAATACATTTTGAACAAAAGTTTACCATGCTTATAATAACTTTAAAATATTCCCAAGATTTCAAAGCATTCGGTTTTGTAATTCCTGATTAAATCGATAAAATAAATTCACGCCTTCATTAATTTTTTTGAGTCACCCTGCATATGCAAATCCAAAAATATGAATGGAATGATAAATCACAAGTACAGACTCATCATATTTTGTACATTTTAGATACGATTTATTCGGAAAACTTTTGAGCTGACGTCATCAGTTTTTTGTAGAAGATAACCAAATATATTTTGACTAAAAATTTATTATGCTCTTTATAACCTTAAAACATCTGCAAGATTTCAAAGCATTCGGTTTTGTAGTTCCTGATTAAATCAATAAAATAAATTTACGCATTCATTAATTTTTTTGAGTCACTCTGTATATGCAAATCCAAAAAATATGAATGGAGTGATAAATGACAAGTACAGGCTCATCATATTTTGTACATTTTAGATATGATTTATTCGGCAAACTTTCGAGCTGACGTCATCAAGTTTTTGGAGGGGATAAGCAAATATATTTTGACTAAACATTTATTATGCTCTTTATGACCTTAAAACATCTGCAAGATTTCAGAGCATTCGGTTTTGTAGTTCCTGATTAAATCAATAAAATATATTTACGCATTCATTAATTTTTTTGAGTCACCCTGTATATGCAAATCCAAAAAATATTAATGGAGTCATAGTTCACAAGTACAGACTCATCATATTTTGTACATTTTAGATATGATTTATTCCACAAACTTTTGAGCTGACGTCATCAAGTTTTTGGAGGGGATAAGCAAATATTTTTTGACTAAAGATTTATGATGCTCTTTATAGCCTTAAAACATCTGCAACATTTCAAAGCATTCTGGTTAGCAGATTAAAAATTAAATTTCAAAATGTTGTTTTATAATTTTGATTTTTTTTCCAAAAATCTGGACGTTTCGGGTGAAAAGTCGATTCAGAGTTGTAAACTACATGTGTAGGACTATGTTATTTTATACAATTGAAAACCCATTTACTATGTACAATTTTGAAGTGACGTCATCGCTTTAGTGGTGGGGATGATTCGACAAATTTTGGTTAGCGTTTTACCATCTACATGATATTCTTAATATAAGTACAAAATTTCACAACAATCGGTCGAGTACTTTCGGAGATTATCTGTCTAATAAAAATCCGTGACAACAGACGGACAGACGGACAGACGGACAGACGGACGGACAGACGGACAGACGGACAGACGGACAGACGGACAGACGGACAGACGGACAGACGGACAGACGGACAGACGGACAGACAGACGGAAATGGGAGACCTATTTCTTCGTCTTCTAGGGGTCATGAAAGATCGAGAAAACGTAAAAGTAGAGAGTCGGCCGACGGACTCGATTACAATACTTCCTTTGCTTACGCTCGGGAAGTAAAAAGGAAAACTGATTCCTCCAAAAATTATTGTAGTATTTAAATATGTATCTACTCCTGTATACATCGTAATGAAAAACCAACGTAATAATGTGGAATGTGAAAATCTAGTCCAGTTATACAGGAGTAGCCTTACACACCACATGACGCGAGTATTTTTAATATTTTATGGAATGTCCGCAATATACAGACCAAATTCGTTAAAAAATTGAAAATTGCAGTCTGGTACAGACGCTTTTAAATCTTCTATTTTAGATCGTATTAGGGAACGCTAGTTTTTAATGAATACTTTAAAAAAAGCTAAAAATATCTTGTAAAATTTAAAATAATTATAAACTGCTTTAATTATACTTTAATAACGGCTGTAAAAAATTCTAGCTAGGCTTTCGTAAAGTTATGATGTGGTGTCACTTTTCAAAATAGCAATAATATTATAAAAAATTGTTCCATTTTTATATACCGAGCTGTATATTGTATACTGCACGTTTGGGAAATAAAACACCAATATCCGTTTATCGTTGTCTTTATTTCAACTGACAACTAACAAGAATTAAAGTACACACAAATTTCTATGTACCAAGCGAATTAATTCTTTGCTCTGCAAAATTGTTTGTGCTTTTCGCAAAATAAACTCAGTTCGTTGCTACAGCCGCCGGAAGTTTATTATGTTGCTTCTATTTACTCAAAGCACAATAAGCTTAGAAAAGCGAAAAAACCGCCACCAGAAGACTTTAGAAATAGGTACTACATAAAAAAATTAATTAAACCGCCACCGAATTACATTAGCATATAAAGTGAACGATTTGCTTTTACAATTAAAATGCATAATTGAAAGTAATAAATTCTGTTTGTTGTTTGAAATAATGTCGTTTGTCAATAAACGTTTAATTGAATTTCCATATTTACTCAACCTGCTGTCACTTCCACAATGACCGCAGCACCTATTAAAAATATATCCATTAACTAAAAGTTATCGACCGCTGCTAGCCCGATTGTTAATTACAGAAAAATGGAACAATAATTGCCAGGAAGTATGCGGATGGACGCGTCCGACCAAACAAAACTTCCAGCGCTTTTACATAACACCTCTTTGTGCAGCGCGGAGCGGATATATTATAAACAGTTTAGTAGACTTTTAGAACTCACAGCTGGAATTCGCTTTGCACCACCTTTTCAAAGGTAAAGCCGTAATTTATCATTAGAAAAGCGGACGGTGCAGAAAGAACAGGAAATGTGCACAACATTACGTTCAAAAAGATAATCCAAACGACTTCGAGCGGAGGTTGACCAAAAAAGCGCATCGATTTTATAATCATGGGCACACAAGAAGTCGGGGTTCAATGCAGAAATGGGTCTTTAGGAGGCTGTTGTGTTGCCTTCGGGGTAAATGGTGTAAATGAGCCGGCGGTACTAACAGGAAAACAAAGAAATGCAACATGAACTTTTAAAAAGTGAAATTAAGTTGTAATGTTAAAAATTGGCCCAAAAGTTTAGAGAGTGTTTTCGCCACCCTCTGAAACGTGACCAACGCTTAGTGAACGTTAGAGCGCACTTTTTTAGAAGTAATTCCTGTCAATAAAGTCTCTATTAGAAAAATAACCAATTTTTTCGCAACATTGCGCATTTCATCATTTTATTTTGGGCCCTTGCTTTAAAATAAAAATTGTTCTTTGTTTTAATGTTGACTGTCTGAGCATTTATATTCATAGATATAGGGTGATCAAAAATGAGGAATAAGCTCCATTGTCAAGAAGAATGTGAAGAAACTTCGTAATTCTGATTTGTTTTAAATACCTGCATATCTATTAGACAGTTCAATAATAAAGTATTAGTAATTAATTA